GGGGGGGGGGGGAGTACTCCTGCCCCCTCACTCAAAACGCTCCAGAGGAACCCCAACCCAAAGAGAGGGCTGAGGAGAAATGAACGTGAGTAGTGGGGATGGCGGCGCGCGATGTGCGGAAGGGACCGCGGGCGACGTGACGCAACATATTGATCTAAGTTTGGGACGGCGTGGCACACGAGAGAGCAGAGGAATGAAATACAGGCCGCCTCGTCAGGTCTACACACACGCAATCCCACTCTTTCTCTCCCTCGCCCTCCAACTCCCCTCTTTAACTCGTCAAATTATCCATTCCTCCGTCTGCCTCATTGTTTCACCAATTCCAACCGTCAACAATATATATTTTTTAATTATTCGCTCCGTCACCCACGTCACACAACAACACGGAAAAAAAATATACTTGAATTGAGTATAAAATATACTTGAATCAAGTATAATTGAGTAAAAGTTGATTCAAGTTGATTTTAACTACGGACAATTTTCAGCGGAAATAACTCGCGCATGGAGAGAAATATTCAGTAAAAATTACGGAACTCTCAATTCACTCACCGATTACGGAATCGACTCAGAAAATTTAAGTGACGGTATCGTAATTTTTCACTAGAGATTCAGATAAAAATTACGGAATGCTCCGGAAAAATTCCGTGATAGTTCCGTCAAATTTCCTACAACCACGTTTCGCTCCGGAATTACGGAAAAGATACGTAATTTTTATTGACTATTTCTCTCCGTGCAATTATTCGACACTAGCGGAATTTAACAGTAGCCACATTGTGGCCAATGAAATGGACATGAGTTTAGTGATATGGGAGTCTGTCGTCCCAGTGATCAGCTCCCAGCCATTATTCAATCATTCTTTGAACAGTCTGGCAGCTGATCTCGGTCAAATCTATGACGTATTGTACTTTTATTATAATTATTTGATTGTCTCTTGAGAAATGTAACGATTTAATTTGATCCCAACATCTTGTAAGCTCTTTCTGAGCAAAACTCATCAATAATTGAAGTGGCTCATCTTTCTTTCATTTTTCTCTTCCTATTATAATGTTTCATAATCAAATTTGATAATCTCGATTAAATCCTAGAGTTAAGTTATACTTATTCCTTGTTGGATAATCAATTCATGTAACATATTTGGGTTGTCCTTAGGGGGTCATTGTTACCCCAGGACATAGTCATAAAGCTCAATAAATAAA